ATAGATGATGATTGGATAGACAGGTAATTGGGTAGGTGAGTGGATGGATAGGTGGGTGATAGGATAGATGATTGGATGAATAGATGAATAAATAATTGGATGGATAGATGGATGTTTGGATGGATGGATGTTTGGATGGATGGATGGATGGATGGATGGATGGATGGATGGATGGATGGATAGCTGGATAGATGGATGAATGGATGGATATATCTTTGCTCTTTCCTGCCTTTTTTCCATATCTGGATGGATAGATGATTGGATGGATGGATGAATGGATGGATGGATGGATGGTTGGATAGCTGGATGGATGGATGGATGGATATATATATCTTTGCCCTTTCCTGCCTCTTTTCCAAATCTGGAAGGATAGATGATTGGATGGATGGATGGATGGATGGATGGATGGATGGATGGATGGATAAATGGATGGATTTATTTATCTGAGTTCCCAAACAGCATACTCATATCTTTTTTCTGTCTTTTTTCCATATCTGGTTGGATGATGGATGGATGGATGGATAGGCGGATAGGTGGATGACTGCATTGTAATACATATAACTCTGTATCCCCAGGGATGACCTGCCAAGCCCGGAGCTCCTACATGGATACAGAGGTGCTCTGGGGCCACCGATTCACACCAGTCCTCACCTTGGAAAAGGGCTTCTATGAGGTGGACTACAACACCTTCCACGACACCTATGAGACCAACACACCCAGCTGCTGTGCCAAGGAGCTGGCCGAAATGAAGCGGGAAGGCCGGCTCCTCCAGTACCTCCCCAGTCCCCTGCTGTTGGGGGGCTGTGCTGAGGCAGGGGTGGATGCAGAGGCTGAGCAGAATGAGGAAGATGAGCCCAAGAGGCAGGGTGGGTCCAGGGAGGCCAGGGGCTCAGTGTGAGAGCTGCAGTCTCCCTAAGACCTCATGTCACTGGCTTCAGTGAGCATAGACACTGCAGAGCCTGGGGGCAGGGGAGGGGAATAGTTGAGTGCACTGTTTGGGGTTCAGAGGCCATCAAGGCTGTGGGGAGGAACCATATATTCAGCCCTCACAGCTCCCAGCACAGGGCCCCCCATGGCAGTGCTGCCTCCTGAGGTTGCTGGCTAAGGCCAGGCCAGGATGAGTTTCCCCATGGTGAATGTTGCAGGGTGGTGTCTATTCTCTCTCTGCCCTGGGTCACTTACTTTTTTGAGTCTCACAGAGCGCTCCAGCAGCTGACACCTAGAGAAGGCTGTCACCTTGTCCCCTCATTCCTTCCACCCTGAGGCTTGCTGTGGATTCAGAGAGGAGCCTTGCATCATGGAAGCTCAAACCTCCAGTCTGGGATGAGCTCACAGAGCCCTCATGGGTTAAGGTCCATCTCTGTCATGTAGGCAATTCCTTTTCGATCAGATACCGATGACCCATGACTGAGAGCTACAGAGCGTACAGCCCTTGGTGTTCTCTGCTGTCATCTGCTATGTGTGTGTGTTTTTCCTCTGCTGTGTTCTGTGTGTTCAGTGTAGCCTATTGAAGAATCGATCTCATTAGAGTGACTCTTAGAAGGTGGCCTGGGACTAGACAGTCCCTCCGAGCACATGCACAGTGGCATCAGCAGCTTCCTGGCCTACTCCCAATCACACTGTACCCTGCACCTCCCACCAAGGGGGAACCCCAGCAGCTGGGGTTTTTCTAGTGCTTTTTGGCCAAAGAATCTCAGAGTGTTTCTAATCATCACAGTCGTTTTTTGTTGTTGTTGTTTGTTTTTTGTTTTGTTTTTTTACAATCTCAGCAAACCTGTGGTGTGACCTGGGGAGAGAGCTGAGTGTCAGGGGGCACAATGAGCCAGGTGGCTCTGAAACAGGGAGCATTTTAAAATCAGCATCTGTCCCCAGTTGTGGCCGAGACACTCTGACCTCAAGGCTCAGCACTTTTGCCATCAAGGCAGATAATGGGATGTAAATCAAAAGCAATAGGTGATTGCAGTGGCAGCTTCACCATCAAGCCCAGCCTGGACCAAACTCCCAGCCTCGTGCTGAAAAGCCCCAGGGCCTCCCTCCCCAGGCAGGGTTACAACCAGCAGGGCAGGGTAGGGAGGGCAGGGAGGATGCCCTGGAGAAGGCAACAGGAGTGGCTGCCCCTCCACCCCAGGCTGGAAACAAGAGGGCAAGGGGGGTCAGCGGGAGACTTTGGGGGTAGATTGACTATTAGGAGGAAAAAAGTGGAGAAGAGTCTGAAAATCAGCAGCTTCAATGGCTTTTCTGATCTGGAGGCCCAGGAAGAGTGAGGGTGGAAGGGAGCAGATTGTCGGTACTGAAACAAGCTGGTCTGACTTGGAAAGAGACTGCCCATGTTCCCAGGCCACAGAAGTGTGAAGGCCTCACCCACAGTCTCCAAAGCTCTCAAATGGCCTTTGAGAATGGAAGTCTTTCCCTGCCCTGGACATGTCGCTCCTCCCTAGGAGAGGAGCAGAGCCACAGAGAAGTAGGAAGTTGAGACACAGCAAAGAGAAGGCTTCAGAGCTCAGGCCGGGTTCATTTCAGGCAGGTTTTCTAGGTCTGGGGCTGGAAGGAAGAGGAGTAGGGCAGCCTGGGACAGTGACTGCCTCTGTGGGCTGCTCACACCCAGGGAGGGGCTCTGTGGGCTTTGCTCCTGGGCTGGATCTTGAGAGGTGGGCAGGGTGCCATGGCTGCATGAGGTCTTCCCACCAGTGGCAGGGCGTGGGGTCGTGGTCCCAGGTATCCTTCAGGGGCAAGCAGGCCTTGGAGGGAATGGGGAATGGGCTGGCACCCCACTCAAGGGAAGAGGAAGCAGACAGTGCCCCAGCATCCTGCTGTGTGCCCCCAGGAGTCTCAGGCAGGGAGCCCATCACTAAGGCTGGGTGCCTTTCAGTGGAGCTAGAGCTGGCACCCTCCAGCTGGGCCCAGCACTCTCCCGGGGCTCCCCGGACCCCAGGGTTACTAACAGGAAAACCATTCCACACCCCCTTGCAGGATCTAAGTCTGTCTTTGGACCAGTCAGTCCCCCCAGGTTAGAGCCCATGATGGGGTCAACTAAGCAAGGGAGGGAAGGTGAAGGTGAAGGCAGCCTGGCACCTGGATAGCGACCTGGCTCCTCCCCACACCTGCCTTCATTTATGACTCTGAAACATCCCCCACCTGACCAAGGGAGCCATTCTCTAGTTCTCTCACTCCATCAGGGCCCTCCGTGAGCCAGGACCAAGTCACACCTCAGCCACATCTAGAAGCTCTGGGTAGAGGAGAGGAAGCGTGCAGAGGGTCCTATGCCAAAGCTCCCTGCCTGGCCCACGCCTGGGCATACTGGCATTAGTGCAGCCTGGCCCCAGTGTACCTTCTCTGCCTTCTACCATGGCGATTTAAAAGCAAGAAGACCCCCTTCACATCCCGAGGAAATCCCCTTCTGAGTTACCAGTTGATCCAATGAAAGTTTGAAAAGTTCTTCCTTTTCTAGAAGTTCTTGAATAAACACGGACTTACTAAATGCAAAGTCTGATGATGTGTCCATCAGACTTTCAAAACACTTAATTAATTTATTTATGTAGAGACATGGTCTCACTCTGTCTCCCAGGCTGGAGCGCAGTGGTACAACCTCCGCTCACTGCAACCTCTGTCATCTCCGAGGTTCAAGGGATTCTCATGCTTCAACCTGCCACGTAGCTGGGATTATAGGCGTGAGTTACCGCTCCCGGCCATTTTCAAAACATTGCTCCTGCATAAAAACCACTCAGAGGCCACAGCCCTTGGTTCTGTGATGGCTCTGAGCCTACGCCATCACATCTGATGGACCCCAGAGAGCTGAGCGCCGCTTTAAGATGGAGTCGTGCACTCACTGGTCATTCCCACAGTCTTCAATATCTCCAAATTTCCAAAGTGATATTTCACTTTCAGACACTGAACGTTTGGAGAGCTGGTTTCTTGCCTTAATTTAAGCCCTCTGAGAATGTCTGCTGTAAGGGAGAAGCCTCCAGGAACTCAGAGAGAACTCGTTCCCACTCGTTTATCTGCTCCACCGATCTGACATCTGACAGATGCTGTCACCAGTGCTGGAAGGATCATGTCCCCAGGCCAGAGCAGAATGAGCACTGCCCATGACTCTCCCTTTCAGACTCCACTCCCGCTGGCCTCCTGTGTAGTTAAGAGAGCCCACTGCCCATCATCTCCTGCTGCTGCTTTGAGGTTGAGGTCCCGGCTTAAGCAATTACCTTGCTGGAGGAGAGGAACCCCTGCTGTCTGGGGAGCACCATCCCTGCTCATGATCTGTAACAGGGGGGTGCCCTTTTCACACCCCTTATCTCATGGCTTGCTTCCAGCCCCTCTCAATCCTGTGCCTCATATGAGGTGAGTCCCAGAGAAACTTAAATTGCTTGTACTGAAGTTGCCAAAAACCAAACGTTTCCCATTGTCTTTTGAGACGGTGCCCTGAAAACACCTCTGCCGAGCACCACTGAGCACGTGTTAGGTGCCTGCCTAACAGGCAGGGTCAGACACTCTCAAAACACTGCTGAGAAGCTCTTAGTAACCCCTTACCGATGGGACAGTCGAGGCTCAGAGAGGTTTATGAGCTTCCTAAGGCCACGGGTAGTAATGTGAGGCAGGGTCTTGGTGCCCAGGGAACAAACAGCAGGGGCCGTGATCCTGCCCAAACTCTTGTGCCCATGGCTCCTTGCTGGGTGTGGGCAACAGAGATCAGGAGAGCCCTGGCTCTCAGGGTGGCATCGCGGGCTGTACTGTAGAGTCCCAGCTTCCACACACAATGTGCCCCTGTGGCGGGAAAATTGGGAAACAACCTTTCTCTGATTCCCAGAGAACTAATGAGCTGCAAAAAGAGATTAGACAGGGAAGAATCGCTTTCGGGGAGAAGCCACCTTTCGGCTTGCCTTGGTTTCTGCAACGTCTCTTTAAACCGCTGTCAAATCTTTTCCTCCCTGTGTAGGTTTCATCAATCTTCTTATGAAAAAGAACACCACTGCAGCGCTAAAAATTCACCCAATAAAATGGCCTTGACCTTGCCGAACTCCTTCTCATTTTAAACAGAAGGCCACCAGTTTCCTGTTTAAACTCATTGCCAGTTTTAGAAACCTTGTTTTTCTTGGTTTTGTTAGCCTAAAAAAGTAGTATCAACTTCTAGACTTGTTTCGAGGTGGAAGAACGGGCAAAGGTGGGGCGGAGACGGCCAGATGGGGGCAGCTGCACCAGGTGTTTAGAGGTAGAGCTGGTGACAGATGTAGCGGGTGCGGGCGGTGTGGGTTCTCACATTAAGTCATTCGTTCCAGCCCCAAATACCTTCTGTACATTCTTTAATGTCAAATATTCAGAACCCGCATTACCTATGTAATGAGTAACTTAAAAATATCTACTTTAGGGGGCTACTGGACTAGCATTCTGCTTTCAGGGCATAAATTTGCAGAATGATTGCTCTTGCTGAACAGTAGGGAAGGGGCAGAGAAGGCTGTGATACCTCATGTTGGCAAAGGATCTCAGGATCTTTCAAGAGAAATCCCAAAGTTTCCGTTGAAAATGTCCTTGGCAGTAGAGGATGTGATATTGGCTTGTCTTCTGCTCTGGTCACCCAGTGGTAATACTGAAGAGTTAAAATTTACTGAAAATCCCTCATGGACACCATCCTGAAAGGATAAAGTAGATCACCAAGGCTCTGATTCAAAATGAGAAGTAGTGTTTTCAGTTGGGAAAGGCAGCCCAGCCCTGATGTGTGTGGGGTGTTTCCCTTGCCCCATGGCCTACCCACGATAACCAGGCATCGGTGAATCTGTGCGTGGAACTTGGGCCAAAAGCACATGCTGAGCCTCAGAATCAGCCGTGAACAAGAGTGTCTGCTGATGCTGAGGGCGAATTGCCTTCACTGTGGGAAAGACCCACGCAAAGCCTTGGTAGGCGTTCTGGGGATGGCCCTTGCCTGGGGATGGCAGTACAATGACTGCTCAGTGTCAGAATGGAGACATGAGGTTGGGAAAATGATGAATTTGTGAATTTGCACATTTGCCAGTCAAGCTCAGATTGCAATTCGAGGAAGGAGAACTAGACACATAATCTAATAAAAGCAACAATCTGAATGTCACCCTTAGAAAACTCACCCGGGCCCGGAAGATGCGCTCTGCTGGTTCAGTCAGAAGACCGACACCGATGCACGCAGAGCAGATGTCTCCTTAGGCCTTGTTAGATCCCAGCCATAAAGTGTGCTGACTTTCTTATGGTAAGTAAGTAAATGTCTAGGAAGGAGTTTTGAAAACAGAAACATTGCTGACTTTTTCTCTAAGTGAGTATTTACATTGATTCAGAAGCTGCTATTCAAATAACCTTGGCTCACTTGGTGGAGGCAAAAATCTTAAATCCCAGGGGAGAAATTACTGAGAATTTGGGCACATTAACATATACTTTGAGCTTCATTTTTCTACCAAGTAAGCAAAAGCATAAGTGGAGCCATCCTTGGCTGCGCTGGGCAAGTCTGCAGCAGGGAGCGAGGAGGTGACGTGTAGGGGCACTGAGAACTCCTGTGTGCACCCACTGGATGCCACATTCCAAATTGCCTCTCTTTTTTTTGAGACAGACTCTCGCTCTGTTGCCCAGGCTAGAGTGCTCGGCTCACTGAAACCTCTGCCTCCCAAGTTCAGGTGATTCTCCTGCTTCAGCCTCCCAAGCAGCTGGAATTACAGGCACCTGCCACCACACCAGGCTAACTTTTGTATTTTTAATGGAGATGGGTCTCCCCATGTTGGCCAGGCTGGTCTCGAGCTCCTGACCTCAAGTGATCCACCCGCCTCCTCCTCCCAACGTGCTGGGATTACAGGTGTGAACCAAATCACCTCTTAAATAAACATGCTCGTGAAAGAGACTGCAGCCAGCCCTGTGTGATATGAAGCTTCAAGGCAGTGACCGTTTCCTCACTTCACCGTGTAGTTACCAGTGATTACAGCCCCCAAGTCACCTCTTAAATAAACACGCTCGTGAAAGAGACTGCAGCCAGCCCTGTGTGAAATGAAGCTTCAAGGAAGTGATCGTTTCCTCACTTCGCCGTGTAGTTAGCTGGGGAAATTGGCAGACATGACCACTCAGGAATGCACGCACCTTCTCTCTCCCTACAGAGGTGACCCCGCTTGCTCAGGTTCATGGAAATAGCTGGGAAAGGAGGAAGCGCATTTGCTGAACCCAGACTGTGCCCTAATGGATAGGAATGCGGCTGTTTAATCTGGTGTCTTTCCCATTCAGTAATTGCACTGGGAGAGCCTTACACTCCTCCTCTTCAGATTAAGCACTCCATGAACACACCCTGTCTTCGTATATAAGATAAAATTCTTCATGCCTGTAATTCCAGCACCTTGGGAGGCCGAGGCAGGCAGATCATGGGGTCAAGAGATTGAGACCATCCTGGCCAACGTGGTGAAACCCCATCTCTACTAAAAATATGAAAAATTAGTTGGATGTGGTGGTGCACACCTGTAGTCCCAGCTACTTGGGAGGCTGAGTCAGGAGAATTGCTTGAACCTGGGAGGTGGAGTTTGCAGTGAGCCGAGATCAGGCCACTGCACTCCAGCCTGGTGCCTGGTGACAAAGCAAGACTCTGTTTCAAAAAAAAATTCCTGCCAGGAAGTCACTCCTGTCTGTGTCTCCCAGAACCCATGATGCCCAGCAGCAGAGCCTGGGCATTAGTCCGGGAGCTGATCATCCTGATCATTCCCTTTGGAATTGGTGGGGCTTTGCAGGGCATTCCAACAACCATCTCATTGTGATAAAGGATTAAAATGACATCTCAGAAAACACAGAGCCAACTCCACACAAGGGCCAAAGGGTCTCTGTCTTTTCATTACTTCAATTTTCCCACATATCCATTATTCAGCAAATATTTAGTGAGCACCTACTATGTACCCAGAGCAGAAACAGGCACTGCAAACTCAGTGGTGATCAAGACTGTCTTAGTCCACTGGGGCTGCATTATAACAATACCTTACTGTGGGTGACATCTAAAGAGCAGAGGCTTCCTGCTCACAGTTCTGAAGGCTGGGAATGCCAAGATCAAGATCAGGCCGAGAGCAGATTGGGTATCTGGTGAGGGCCTGTTCCTCACAGATGGTACCTTCCAGGTAACCTTACTTGGTGAAAGGGGCCAACAGGCTCCCTGAAGCCGCTTTCATAAGGGCACTCATTCATCAGGACCTCATCACCACCCAAAGGCCCTGCTTCCTAATGTCATCACCTCAGGGGCTAGATTTCAGAAAAGGAATTTTAAGGGAACATAAATATTTAGACCATAGCAGAGATGATATGGTCTCTTGCCCTGGTGAAATATGCTGTCTGGTGGGGAGGGGGAGAGACAGAGACAGAAAAAGTACACAAATCAAAGAATCACAGTTCTCAATAAGGGCTACAAGGGAAACAAACGGGGGCTGAGGTCAGGAATGGCAGGGCTGCCTCTGGGGAGGCTCTGAGTGGGGCTGGGAGCTGGGTCTTGAAAGAGAAGCAGGAATGAGCTCCTCCAAGGGTTCTGGGGGAACAGCTGTGTGCAAAGGTCCTGGGGTGGAAGGGGCAGCTGTATCCAAAGAACTGGAAAAAGCCCAGGGAGGCAGCAGCCCTGGGGAAGGGGGAGCAGGGAGTCAGCCCAAGCCTGGCTGGGAGCTAGGGCTGACAGTTCAGATCTCATGGCAGGTTCTGGGGAGAGTGCAGCAGAGGGCTTATCCGGGGGAGGGGGGGACCTGCTATGGGTTCACCCTGAGATGGCATTGCCTTTCCTCTCTCCTGGGTGTCATGGGTCATTAGCCACATTGAGGCATGGTCTGAGCAGCTCTCTCAGGCTGTACTCAACCCTGCCCTTTAAGGACTAAAAGTCACAGTCAATCTAGGTTCTTTTTATAAATATTTCCAAGTTGTAAACTCAGGAGTATTTCTGAGCCATCCTGGACAAGTCCCTCCTAAGTATTATTGCACATGCCCTGTGTGACAGAAGCTGGTCAGACTGTTCGAGGACCTTTCCCAGTGCCAGGGTCCATGGCCCATATCACTGCTCCATTTCCCCCCTCCGCACCTGCACCGAGGGAATGGGCTCAGTCAGCCGCCTACGTGGGGTGCCAGGTGGTATTCGGGCTCCTTACCAACGTGGAGAAGGCTTCTAGCTCACAGCCCTGACCTTGACAGCTGGTTCCACATCCATTTCAAACAGGCAGCATCTGAAAGAGAAAACCAGTCTCTTCAAGGCCCTTAAAGTGTTCATCTTAAAAGGGAAATTGCATTTCGCAAAGCACTGCTCGTGCATCTGACATTTGCACATCTGGAAAGCTGGGATTGCTTGACGTGGCGCTCAGTGAAATCCAGCTCTCCCTTCACCTCCCACCCTCTCCCTTTCATGATCCTCTTCCCAGCTCCAATCCTGGACTCCTTGGGCCCTGCCCTCTGCCTCCAGCTTTCCTTCCTTCCATGCATAATGCCCCATTCCCCAGCCAGGTTAACAGTTCTCCTCTGTGTATAAAAATCAGATTGCTCCTTTAAAAAAAAAAGAAAAGAAAAACTGGCAAACAGACAAACAGAACCCTTTCAAAGTGGAGGGCTTTGCAGTTGGTTCTTCACATGTAGAATTAGGGTGTTCCTAGAAGCCTTTTCGGGCCGTCTTTTTAGGCTAGATGTAACTTGAAATCATTCACTAGTGTACTCAGCAAGCATTTGCCAGCCCCACTGTGTCCTGAGCACCTTGCCAGGACCTGGGGAAACCAAGCCGACTCAGTCCACGCCCTCTGGGAGCCCACAGCCAAGTTGGAAGGAGGGTTCTGCACTGATTGCTCTGATTTATTGCACAGCATAAGTTTTGTTTATTTAAAAACATCTTTCTATTTTATAAAGAAAAATGTCCATGTCATTGGACAAGAACCAGGTTATTGGACAAAAGGCAAGAACTGGGTAAAAACACATTGACACATACACACACACACACAGAGAGAGAGAGAGAGAGAGAGAGAGAGAGAGAGAGAGAGAGAGAGAGAAAAGACTAAACATGCAGATTTTGTTAACAAAAGCAATAATTTGCCATCAAATCAGAATTAATGATTTATACCTTTAAAATTGCCCTCAAAAGACAGTGCCAATTCCAGGCAAAACCTTTGTCCTTTCCACAGCAGGGCTTTCAGAGCTTGCTCTGTGGGAGACTTCACTTGAACCTTCTGAACCAGCAATGTCCAGCACCCCGCCCGGGGCCTTCCTCGCCCGCCCCGTCTGCAAAAAGCTATTCTGGGTCTCCTGAGGGTGTCCCCTGGGCTCCTCCAGGCTACAGCGCAGGCGTCCCTCTTTCTTAGGTTACAGCAGTTCCCAAGATATCTTTCATGCTCCAAGTTTTAAAAAAAGAAACAGAAATGAAAAGGAATCGCCCTTCATCCCCCGACCTGAGAGAGGCCCCTGAAGACCTGAGAGGGATCCCTGCGGACCTGAGAGGCACCTGCCATCCGGCTCCCGCGCCCTCTGCCCCGCCCCGCCCCGCCCCGTCCCGCCGGCCCCCCTGAGCCCCCTTAGCCGCCACACTCCTGCCTGAGGCCAGCAGGTGGCAGCACTTGCCAACTGGCCACGCGGGACAGCGGGCTCTGAAGGGGCAAGAGAAGGAATGCCGGGCCAGCTGAGTGAGAAGTGACGTCCACTTGGACAGAGGAGGCAGTGCAGCTGCAGCCATGTAGCTGAATTTGAGAGTTTAAGGGCAGTATTCGCAGAACGATGGATGGAGGCAGAGGGGAGTGTGAGGGAGGAGCCCCGGCCTCTGGCTTGCAGAAGCAGATGGACAGAGGCTGCGCAACCCCTGAGCCTCGCTGCACTGGAGTAGACTCTCATTTAGAGAGGTTGGGAGGAGAACGGCGTGAGTTCTTTGAGCCAACCCCCTGCACTTGCACGTTTGCCTCTGAGGACCCTCAAAGGCCAGCATTTGCATACACCTAGACCTCCGAAGACAGACAGTGAGAGTCCTAAGTTTGGGAGTCATCGGGCTGTAAGTGGGACTTGAAGCTGAGTTGCTAGCTAAGATTGTCCTCGAAGGAGGGAGAGCGTGGACAGAGAGGCAGGCTAGGACTGACTCTTGAGGGGCTCCCTCGTTGAATGGGCAGAGGCTGGACAGGAGGATGCCTCTCCTCAGGAACTAGAGGGCTCTCCATGGCCCCCGCCTTCAAGCGCTCTCTGGGTGTTAACCTGGGAAGACCCTTCCAGAGACCAGCACCACTACGGCTTCCAAGGTCCCTGTGATTCGGGGGATGCTGAGTAACGAGCCCACGGAAGGGTCCTCAGGTGAAAATGTGCCAGAGCAAACCCAAGGCTGCACTGGTTTATGCGCCTCCTGAGCAGAGCACCCCTCAGCATCCCCACCGCAGTCCGTCTGCTCCCCTCAGGCCCACCGTCCTTGAGGAAGCCCAAATGGCCTCTCCTGCACCCCTGGGCTTCACTGCCACCGCTTCCCTCCCTTCTGACTGCGGCCATCTCTTCTTGCTAGCTTGCTTGTCACAGAATCTGGGCTGCTCTGACTTCCTCCTCATTAGCTCTTTTCATGTCATAGTTTTGCAATTTCTCTTGATTTCCACTGCCCATTTAAAGGCCTTATTTTCATTTTTGAAGCATTCCTTTAAACTTCCTGTCACCTCGTTGGTTTCTATTGTGATGTGTGACAGGTAGCTGGCTTAAAAGAGTGAATTTCCATATTCTCCTTACAGATTTGCATTTTCCCATCAACTGGAGAAAAGAGCTGAATAAATGAAAGAGCTGGTGGGCAGAAAGGTGCACTGAAGAAAGCGAGTGGCTCCTTTTGCGATATGAGAGCTCAGGGAGGCAAATCTCAGAAGCCAGCGGTGGGGGAAGAGCTTTGTAGTTAATAGAAACTTTGAGGCTGGGCGCGGTGGCTCAAGCCTGTAATCCCAGCACTTTGGGAGGCCGAGGCGGGTGGATCGCGAGGTCAGGAGATCGAGACCATCCTGGTCAACATGGTGAAACCCCGTCTCTACTAAAGATACAAAAAATTAGCTGGGCACGGTGGCGCGTGCCTGTAATCCCAGCTACTCGGGAGGCTGAGGCAGGAGAATTGCCTGAACCCAGGAGGCGGAGGTTGCGGTGAGCTGAGATCGCGCCATTGCACTCCAGCCTGGGAAACAAGAGCGAAACTCTGTCTCAAAAAAAAAAAAAAAAAAATAGAAACTTTGATTCCTACATCGCTGCCACCCAACGCACCCCACCGCCCTTAGTTTGTATTCGACCATGCCTAGGATAGCCTGTTCTGGAAGAGAATTCTTAAGCAGTTTGGATTGTAGTTTCAGTGACATGTCCCATGTGGTTCCACCTCATCTCATTCGCTACAGGATGGTCTTTGCATGTCACGAGTCAGTGCTCACCGTTTCCAGGCGCCCCTGTCTTTCTCCAGAAAACTTTCAGTTTCTTCAGCAAAGCCCTTCAGCCAGGTGTCACAGGCATGTCCGGCAGACTGTGACATTTTCCCTCACACATCTACGACACACACACAAAGACACAGCCCCCTCCAACATTCATAGCAATCCATTCCTAATTCTCTCTTTTTTTTTTTTTTTCTCTCCTGAGACAGAGTTTCGCTCTTGTTATCCAGGCTGGAGTGCAATGGCGCGATCTCCGCTCACCGCAACCTCCGCCTCCTGGGTTCAAGCAATTCTCCTGCCTTAGCCTCCCGAGTAGCTGGGATGACAGGCATGCGCCACCGTGCCCAGCTAATTTTTGTATTTTTAGTAGAGACGGGGTTTCACCATATTGACCAGGATGGTCTCGATCTATAGCTCATTTCTTTCTTACTGACCTTTGAGTGGATTACAATCACCATTGCCTTAATCACTAATTTACAATTTAGAGTTATATGTGGAAAATCATATGTATTAGATTAATATTCTCTATATATCTTCAAGCACCACCCAAATGGGGAGCCGCAAGCATTTTCAGCTGCACTTCGAGTGTCCACCTTATCTTGGAGAAACAACAAAGAGGCTTTTCTTTTCTTTTTTCCTTTATTTTTGAGACAGAGTCTCACTCTGTCACCCAGGCTGGAGTTTAGTGGTTCGATCTCAGATCACTGAACCCAGGTTTCAAGCAATTCTCCTGCCTCAGCCTCCCGAGTAGCTGGGATTACAGGCACCTGCCACCATGCCCAGTTAATTTTTGTATTTTTAGTAGAGACAGGTTTTCCATGTTGATCAGGCTGGCCTTGAACTCCTGACCTCAAGTGATTCCCCACCATCCCCATCCCTGGCCTCCGCCTCCCGAAGTGCTGGGATTATAGGCATGAGCCACCACGTCTGGCCAAAAACTTCCTTTTCAATCTGACAGACCCAGATTCAACCTCTGAGTCTCTCTGCAGCACAGTGGTAACTACCTCGTGGACTATTACAGAATTAAATAAGATTTCATGGGGCGGCCTCACTCAAAGTGGCATCCCTGTAAACATTCACTCCTCTCCACTTTAAATCAGGGCCATGTGTGGAGAGAGGCCGAGTCTCTTCCACCCTCATCCTCCTTTGTGTCACTGTCTAGGTGTTTTCCCTGCCACTCCTGGCTTTCCAAGAACCTCTTGGGCTGAGCTGGCTGCGCATCCCCCACAACAGCAGTCAGCTGTGTTCCTGTTGGTGTTGCTCTGGACAGGACTGTCCCCCTACTGGGGAGCCCCCCACACTCTCCCAGGACACTTCCTCCTCTTCCTTCTATACAACTCCCCCCACCTGATCCTGCAGTGATTTGCTGAGCACATACTAAGCACCTGACCGCCCTGTGCCTGGTGCAACCGCACTAGGTCCTGGCTCAGGGGTTTCTGATAGGCATCCGAGTTGAGCCAGTCATGCTGCCCACACTAAGCACCTGGCCGCCCTGTGCCCGGTGCCACCGCACTAGGTCCTGGCTCAGGGGTTTCTGATAGGCATCCGAGTCAGAGCCAGTCATGCTGCTCAGGGTTCTGGGCCAAGGGCCCATCCTGGCTAACAAGGCTCAGCTTCCCTCTGACCCCAGACATGAGGGGTCAGGTGAGAGCCCTTTCTAGAAAAGCAAGTTCCCCCTGCCCCTTGGCTTGAGAGGTTGGTGCGGGGGAGGGGCCTTGCTTTGACACGGGGAGGGACCCATCGGAGCCTTTAGAAGTGGGATTCTCTGCCTACTTACGTGGGCACTCAGCTGCTTTGCAGTGACGAATACACCAGATGTGAGGGAGATTCGTGGAATGAGTCACAGTGGAAGGCTATAGCACATTCATCTACAGCAGAAGCGCTCCCAGAGAGTCATTTGCCAGGTTATGCAGCAAAACGGTGACCTCAGCCCCCAGGGCACTGTGGCCTATGAGCAGCGGGGCATCTGTCCTGAGAGCTGGGCAGGCTCTGGGAGGGCCAGCTGCCCTGGCACCTGAAGCACTTCCTGGGGAGAGCAGGGAACAAGAGGGTGCATGTGGAGGTCAAACTTGGAATTGGCTTCTTGAATAATTCAATTCCCTCCCTTGATCCCCGATCCCATCCCTTATTCTCCCCACCCTCCCTGGAGGTACAAGGAGAAAACTGCCACTGAGAAAGAGGCTGGGGGTTAGGGAGGGAGAGGCTTAGGGAGGTGGGAAGTTAGGGAGGCAGAGATTATGGAGCCTGGAAGTAGGGAGGGGAGGGGTTGCAAACCCCCACTGCCTACTCCCTCTCCAGCCTGGCAGGAGTCCTGTCTCTCTGGCTGGCTCCTTCCTGGCCTCCTTTCCCTGTCAAATGGAGTGGGTTTTCTCTCCCCTCCCTCCTCCTCTATGTAGTTGTTGAGCACTGGTTTTTACCTTCTGCTGTGAACTGAATGCTTGTGTCCCTGCAACCCCAAATTCCCATGTTGAAACCCTAACCCTGATGTGTTGGGATTTGGAGGTGGGGCCTTGGGGAATGTATTAGCCTTAGATGAGGTCAGGAGGGTGGGGCCCTGCGAGTAGGATTAGCACCTTCAGGAAAAGAGGAAGAGGCTGGGCACGGTGGCTCAGGCCTGACATCCCAGCACTTTGGGAGGCTGAGGTGGGCAAATTACTGGAGCTCAGAAGTTCAAGACCAGCCTGGGCAACAGAGCAAAACCCCATCTCTACCAAAAATTTAAAAATTAGGCAGGTGTAGTCCCAGATATTCGGGAGGCTGAGGCAGGAGAATTGCTTGATTCTGGGAGATCCAGGCACTCCAGCCTGGGTGACACAGTGAAACTGTGTCTTAAAAAAAAAAAAAAAAAGGCTGGGCACAGTGGCTCAAGCCTGTAATCCCAGCACTTTGGGAGGCCGAGGTGGGTGGATCACGAGGTCAAGAGATCGAGACCATCCTGGTCAACATGGTGAAACCCCGTCTCTACTAAAAATACAAAAATTAGCTGGGCATGGTGGTGCATGCCTGTAGTCCTAGCTACTCGGGAGGCTGAGGCAGGAGAATTGCCTGAACCCAGGAGGCGGAGGTTACGGTGAGCCGAGATCGTGCCATTGCACTCCAGCCTGGGTAACAAGAGCAAAACTCCGTCTCAAAAAAAAAAAAAAGAGCCATGAAGAGACAGAAGATTTCTCTCTTTGTGCCACGTGAAGATACAAGGAGAGGGTAGGCTTCTGCA